TCAGCCCCCCCCCCCCCCACGCTAATGTGAACAAGCCCTAATGCACAGGCCACTTTACAAAGTACCACCAAAATTCTGCAAAATCTCGAGGCACCCCATTCTAAAAATTGTAAAATATCTAAATCAGCGGTCTCCGAACTGCAGGTCTTGCTTGCCTTTATCCGGCCCTTGAGGCATTAATGAGCGCAGGAGAATTTGTCTTTGATTCATTGAGGCATTAATCCTGTCACTAAGACAAACAATGGGGCATATTTCTCACCAATGACAAACAATGGGGCACTATCCCTTCCACTGACACCAACAATGGGGCATAATCCCTTCCACTGACACAAATAATGGTGCACTATTCCATCCACTGACAACAAACCTGAGGCACTATTCTCCCACTGACACCAACTATTTCTCCCCCTAATACAAAGATTGGCATTGTTTACTTTCACTGGGCACAGTCCGGTCCCCCCTAAAGTCTGAAGGACAGTAAAATGGCCCTTTCTTTAGAAAGTTTGTAGACCCCTGATCTAAGTTAACATCCACACATGCAGGACACCCTAGTATTTTAGCATTTTTTTTTCATCCCTCACTCAGCTAATGTGACCCCACTGCTGAAAGAGAGGGGCCGGGGAGAGGCAAACAAGTCGCCTGATGTCCTTATCATCCAATGACACCACAGGTTGCTAGGACACCAGCGACTGGAAGGTTGTTATGGTGAGCAATGAAACCCTGGGGCTTTGTGTCACTAAAAGGCAGGCTTGATCTACCGCTGGCTTGTATACAATTCTGGGGCAATTTGTAGTCATTTTGCCATAGCACCTCTGAAGAAGGCTGAAGGCACCTCTGAAGAAGGCTGAAGGCACCCCTGAAGAAGGCTGAAGGCATCCTGGTTGAAAAAGGCTGAGATAGGCCACTTATTGCATACCTGAGATGGCACTAGAACCAGATTGGTGTTAAAATAGGATTCTGCTCCAGTGTAAGGGAAGCAACATCACTCCTAGCCATCGGGATGCTTTGAGAAAATAGAAAGCAGTTTTTTTCGGCAACTCACTTGTGCTTGGTCATTGCTATCAGTGAGGGTATTCCAGTGCAGTATTCAAGAAGTAGGATTCAGAAATAGGGTAAGCATGTTTGAAGAAGGATACACATCAATCCAGGAGTTGACCACCCTCATGCAAAGTCCTTGTGGCAAAAGCACAGAAGTGCCTGAATATCTTATAAGGGCTCTGGGCAGAGGTTGGTGGTAAAAATGTGACCTCCTGATAGTTTCATTTTTTTTCTTTAATATATACTAGTCAGGAAACACTAATAAGTAGTGCAGGTAGTGGATAGATTACAATACTTGCTTAGGGGCAACAGTAACGGTCTGATAAACAGTACAAACGTATCTTACCTTTCCAGCTCACTTGTCCCTATATAGGTCCAGGCTTTGTCTGTCATGATGGGCATACCACTGGAGGGGTTGTTGGGTCTAGAAAACATAGGGATGGACCATGGTGCTTGATCTGCTTGAAGCAACATTACAGGCTGTCTCCACAGCATGGGGTCGAACGAAGGTTGCTGCAATCCAGATGTACTCCTTCTACTGTTGTATTAGAGGTCGAATGAATAATTTGTAGTAAATAAGTACTAGTAAGCATAGAAGATTCTCCATAAGGGAGAAGAGGTCCATCATCTACAGAACACTAGCAAAACACGGAAGGCTCAGTGGGGTCAAGGTATTCTATGAATATGCAGCCTGTGTCCTGTACTATACTGTATGAGTAAGATATACATTTTGTACCATTCTAATCTTCCCCTCCACAATAAAAAAGCAGCATTTAAAAACATTATTTTTATTCACTTTTATGGGGTTTTTTTTTCCTTTGGCTCCTCCCTTGCACCAATTCTTGCCTATACTAGTATGAAGTTTCAGCCGTTTCCTGTAGTTTACCGGTATGTCAATGTCGCATGTCTGGAGGCATTACTTTCCACCATTCATGAAATCTTCTGTCTCCCAGGATGGCAACACATAAACAGACGTGGTGTTATATCTCTGCGCATGTGGGAGATCTGGCACCAAGTCAATAGGGGTCTGGCTGAAAGAACCAGGAAGAGACAGCTGGCTCCCCATGATGTGCAAGAGGAAGATGGTGGCACGGGAGGGGACCTGAAGTAGGAGACTGATGCAAAAGAAGAAGACAACGCTGGATCTGTTGGGCTTGTAAGTACAGTTAGGTCTATATATATTTGGACACAGGCTCAATTTTAGATTTTTCAGTTATTCACCAAAAAATATTCCATCTATAGTTATATAATGGATATGGGCTGAAAGTGCGCACTCTCAGGTTTAATTTGAAGGTATGTACATCCAAATTGGAGGAAGGGTTTAGGAATTACAGCTCTTAAGAGCAGCCATCCCCCCTTTTTCAAGGGACCAAAAGTAATTGTACAATTGAATAATCATAAATAAAATGTTCATTTTTAATATTTTGTTGACAATCCTTTACTGGCAATGACTGCCTGAAGTCTGGAACCCATGGACATTACCAAAGACTGGGTTTCCTCCTTTCTGATGCTTTGCCTGAAGTCTGGAACCCATGGACATGACCAAAGACTGTGGTTCATCATTTCTGATGCTTTGCCTGAAGTCTGGAACCCATGGACATGACCAAAGACTGGGTTTCATAATTTCCGATGCTTTGCCAGGCTCTAAACTGCAGCTGTCTTCAGTTGTTCTTTGTTTGTGGGTCTTTCTGCCTTTTAGTTTTGCCTTCAGCAAGTGAAATGCATGCTCAATGAGGTTGAGATCAGGTGATTGACTCAGCCATTGCAGAATATTCCACTTCTTTTCCTTCAAAAGCTCCTGGGTTGGTTTTGCAGTGTGTTTTGGAGCATTGTCCATCTGTACTATGCAGCACCGTCCAATCACCTTTGCTGCATTTGGCTGAATCTGGGCTGACAGTATATCTGTAAACACGGCAGAATTCATCCGGCTGCTTCTGTCTTCTGTCACATCATTAATAAACACCAATGACTCAGTGCCACTGGAAGCCATGCATGCCCATCCATCACACCGCCTCCACCATGTTTTACAGATGACGTTGTGTGCTTTGGATCATGAGCTGTTCCAAGCTTCTCCACACTTTTTTCTTCCCGTCATTCTGGTAGATTCATCTTAGTTTCATCCGTCCAAAGAATGATTTTCCAGAACTGGTCTGGCTTTTTTAGATTTTTTTTGGCAAAATCTAATCTGTCTTTTCTATTCTTCAGGCCTATGAATGGTTTGCACCTTGTGGTGAGCCCTCTGTATTTGCTCTCGTGAAGTCTTCTCTTGACTGTAGACTTGGACAATGATACGCCCACCTCCTGGAGAGTGTCCTTCACTTATCTGAATGTTGTGAATGGGTTTTTCTTTACCATAGAGAGGATTCTGCGATCATCCACCACTGTTGTCTTCCGTGGACGTCCACGCCATTTTATGTTGCTGAGCTCACCAGTGTGTTCTTCTTTCCTCAGAATGTACAAAACTGTTGATTTGGCTGCTCCTAATGTTGCTGTGATCTCTCTGATGGATTTGTTTCATTTTTGAAGCCTTACAATGGCCTGTTTCACTTGCATGGACAGCTCCTTTGAACACATAATGTAGGTAAACAGCAATAAAATTCCAACTGCAAATCCCACACAGAATCAACTCCAGACCTTTTACCTGCTTAATTGATGAAGAAATAAAGGAGTAGCCCACACCTGGCCATGAAACAGATTTTGATTCAATTGTCCAGTTACTTTTGGTCCCTTTAAAAAGGGGGGATGGGTACTCTTAAGAGCTGTAATTCTTAAACCCTTCCTCCAATTTGGATGTACATGCCCTCTAATTACACCTGAGAGTGCGCACTTTCAGCCCATATCCATTATACAACTATAGCTTGAACATGTTTTTGTAAATACCTGAAAAAAAACTAAAATTGTGCCTGTGTCCAAATATATATGGACCTAACTGTATATTTATACAGCAGAAATAAAAGCACCACCGTTAGCAGGCACATAGGCGTGATGTTGTCATTGGGGAACAGAAGTTCCTTACGTGAAAGACTTTTAGCTTCCTAAAGCACTGTGTGTCACAAACAACTGTTATTTTTAAAAAACAATTCTCATTTTCAATTGTTTTTACCTTTGTTACATCTCAGTGCAGCTGATCTTCTGCAGCCACTTTGTGTCTACATGAACTCCAGTGATGGCTGCATGGCATTTCTCAGTGCAGGTGATAGTGACAACAGTGGTCCATGATGTGTAATGTGGGAGGACAATTGTAAAACAGGAAAAGAGCATTTTAACCTGTTCCCACTGGTTGTAGGCATACAGTATAGGCCATGGCTGGGCTTTAATCCTGAGCCACTGTAGATGTGTCCATGAGGCACAGCTTTCTATGCTGACAGTGAGCTCAATGTGTGCCCTCAGCTCAGTAATTAAGTAGCTGCCAACACTTGTCTAAATGGAACTTCACTCAAAAAGTAAAGTTCTGCTGGTTCGCTCCCTCCTCCCAGCTTGTAACAGACTTACAGGTTTTTTTGGGGGGGGGGGATGAAGGGTGGGAGGAAAAGAGTAACGATCGTTATCAGAACCTGCACCTACTTCTCCGATCCCCGCCTAGGTGAGGATAGCTTCCCTTGCCCCACCCCCTTCCTTTCTGCAGCCACCTGGGACATGTCACACACATGACACATGTCCCAGGAGGCTGCAAGCTTATGCATGAGCAGTGGGAAGCCGGCTGAGGTTGCTCAGGAAGCCATATCCAGCTCTCGTATTCAAGATGGCGGCACTGATGACCTGCAGTGGTAACAAAAAGAAGACAGCGCTGGACCACAGGCACTCTTAAGTTCCTGATTTTTAAAAGTCACCAGTTATTGTATTTGTAGCTGCTGACTTACAAAAAAAAAATCAGGCTGTCACGCTCATGGTTCAGGCTCGGGGACTAGTAGCTAAAAGCAGCAGATAGACAACAGCAGGATAGGTATACAAGCAGGTCACCATAGTGCACGGGTGTCAAACTGGCGGCCCTCCAGCTCAGCTGTTTCCAAACTACAAGTCCCATGAGGCATTGCAAGATTGACAGTTACAAGCATGACTCCCAAAGGTACAGGCCTGATGGGACGTGTAGTTTTGCACCAGCTGGAGGGCCAACAGTTTGACACCCTTGCTCTAGTGCAGTGGTGGGCAACCTTTTTTTTCAACTGAGCCAAATCTCGCCAAAACCACGATTGAAATTTATTTTGAGAGCCACATTTTTAAAACTGAAAATACATAGGATGGTACACTGTTTTTAGTTTCAATAAGTTTTTATAGTAATTCATCCCCCATAGTAATTCATCCCCCATATAGTAATTCATTCCCCATAGTAATTCATCCCCCATATAGTAATTTATCCCCCATATAGTAATTCATCCCCCATATTAATTCATCCCCCATATAGTAATTCATTCCCCATAGTAATTCATCCCCCATATAGTAATTCATCCCCCATAGTAATTCATCCCCCATATTAATTCATCCCCCATATAGTAATTCATCCCCCATATTAATTCATCCCCCATAGTAATTCATCCCCCATATAGTAATTCATCCCCCATATTAATTCATCCCCCATAGTAATTCCCCCATATAGTAATTCATCCCCCATATAGTAATTCATCCCCCATATAGTAATTCATCCCCCATAGTAATTCCTCCCCCATATAGTAATTCATCCCCCATAGTAATTCATCCCTCATATAGTAGTAGTAAGTAGCAAGTAGTAAGCCAACGTCCCCCCTCTGTCAATTCACTTACCTTTGCTCCGCGCGTTCCTCTCGCCGTGTTCCCGCGCCGTTCCGGTCTTCAGGGCGGACTGTGAGAGGAGCCTAGCTCCTCTCACGTTCGTCACGCTGCCCCGCCTACACACATCCTGACAGCCAATCACTGGCTATCAGGATGTGAGTGGCAGCGAGACTGGCCAATCACTGCATTTGAGCGCGCTGCCCTGGCTGTTTTTTTTTTTGGATCACGCTGCAGAGTCCCTGCCGCCCGAGAGGAGGGAGGGGAGCGGGCGCCCGGCACACAAGAGCTGCATTAAAGCGTGTAAAGAGCCGCATGTGGCTCGCGAGCCGCGGCTTGCCTACCACTGCTCTAGTGGATAGGTATACAAGGATAGGTATAAAAGCAGGTCACCCTAGTGCACGGGTATCAAACTGGCGGTGCTCCAGCTGTTTCCAAACTACAAGTCCCATGAGGCATTACAAGATTGACAGTTACAAGCATGACTCCCAAAGGTAGAGGCATGATGGGACTTGTAGTTTTGCACCAGCAGGAGGGCCACCAGTTTGACACCCTTGCTCTAGTGGATAGGTATACAAGCAGGTCACCCTAGTGCACGGGTGTCAAACTGATGGCCCTCCAGCTGTTGCCAAACTACAAGTCCCAGGAGACATTGCAAGATTGACAGTTACAGGCATGACTCCCAAAGGTAGAGGAATGATGGGAATTGTAGTTTCCACCAGTTGGAGGGCCGCCAATTTGACACCCCTGGCCTAGTGGATGACGCAGGCTCACCTGAGGTCCGGGGTATAAGTAATAACTGGTGTTCACCAGAGCTCCTGATGGTAGAAATGGGTTTGCTGCATGTTAGTACCAGGTCGCAGTCCTCGCCCCACCAGGTGGTGAGCAAGCCAGGGTCCAGTAGCAGATATAGCAGGTAGGGATCAAGCAGAAGTGTAGTCAGTAAACCAGCCAAAGGTCGGTGACATGTGGTTGCAGGTTGGAATCAGGCGGAAGCGAAGTCAAGGAACAAGCCAAGGGTCAATAACAAAAATATGGACAGCAGTAGGATAGACAAGAGTGAGATATTGGGGGTCATTTACTAAAACTGCATGGTACAAAAACCCAGTGCAGCTCTGCATACAAACCAACCAGCTCCCAGGTTTTATTGCCAAAGCTTACGTGAACAAACTGAAGTTAGAAGCCGATTGGCTCCCATGCACAGCTGCACCAGATTCGGAGTGCTCCAGTTTTAGTAAATATCCCCCGTTGGCTTAAGTAGGTAGTTCATGGGAGGAGCAAAAGGATTCAAGGCAAACAAGGTTCAAGGCAGGATCATTCAAGGAATCGTCCAAGGAGCAGTCCAGCATCTCAGGTGGCTCCACAAGAAGAGAAATCACTAGACACAGCAGAGATTGCAGGTTCAGAGCCGGGTCCTGACACAAACTGAAAGTCCTATTTAGGGCCCCATTCACATTGGCGAAGAGGGCCTAAGTAAGGCGAGTTCCCAGCAATTGGCTGGGGGTGGTAGCTCTATTGAAAGGCGCTTACTTGCATGTAAGTACTCATAGAACGATTACCTGCAAATGATCGGCCCTGCATGCAGACTGTCTGCATCCAGGGCCGATCATTTGCAGGAGTACTCTCACAGCACATGGAAATGCAATTATTTTAGTAAATATAAACTGCTAAATACCTTTTCTCATCAGCAGTTAGAGCAGTCGTGTGACTTCAGCAGAGCACTGCCTAAAGCTAGTAGGAGGAGTTTTCTTTCTACCCTATGAGGATGTGAAACCTCTGACCCTCTGTCTGGACAGTGCTGATTGGCCCTGTGCTAATCACATGCACTCTCCCAATAAAAAAAACAAACCTCTCTAGCCATACACACCAAACTGAGAATGTGCACGTGACTAGGATTCAGTCTGTATCATGTGGTCATTTCAACAACAGGAGGAGCAGAGAAGACAGGATCAAACAGCCTTTTTACACAATGCAGAGGATTAACCCCTTACGTTCCACAGTGAGTATAACTAGCATGCTTTACTGCATCTACAGACTGATTGTACTGTTGGGGGTTTAGTAACACTTTAGTAGGAAACTATAGGAAAAACTTTTTTTTTTTTCGATTTTGGATAGGAGTAAGGGAGGATTCTAACCCGTCAGATTTCACTTTCTGTCCCATAGCCAAACGGGAAGTGAGAGGAAATCCCTGCAAATTAAGGGACTCCTTTGGGAACCCCAAAGTCACCAGAAATAGTGTCCCCATTCGAAGAATTCCCTGCTATTACTTTCCCAGGGGCAATCCAAAATTTGGGATTTTCTTTTACTTTCACTGTCAATGAGAATGGTAAACCAGGACAAATAGAGAGGGTGCAGGGCAGCACAGCGGCTAAATGGTTAGCACTTCCGCCTGGCAGTACTCGGGTCGCTGCTTCGAATCCCAACCACGGCACCGCATGCCTGGAGTTTGCATGTTCTCCCTGTGCCTGCGTGGATTTCCTCCGGGTACTCCAGTTTCCTGCCACACTCCAAAAACATGCTGGTAGGTGAATTGGCTCCTGTCTAAATTGTCCCTACACAAAAAACGTGTGTGTGTGTGTATGTATATATATGTATATATTATTTTTTTATTTTTTTCTCTCTCTCTCATCATATACCACCTATGACCTTCCTATAAGTGTTTATACATTTATCATATTTATTATGTTCTTATAATACAGGTCTATCATTCATCATTTAACTATCATACAGTTTTTAACCATCATTTAATTAATTATTATATATATACTATTATTATAAAAAGTTTTTTTTTATGTTTTTGTCTATTTTGATGCGAACGGGTCATGTGATGTCAGGCTCCGCCTTCGGGTGGTTCTGATACAGCCCTTTTGTTACCATTTAGTAACTTATATAAAGAGAAGTGCAGACTCCTGTAGTGTTGGCTCTGAGGAAGAGGCTGAGTCCTCGAAACGCGTTATCCAGTTGGTCATCCAGGGTTCCATCGTATGGACTCAGATGTTGTTTGGATCATACACCTTGTTCAGTTTGACATGCCTGTGTTATTATGTCCATTGTGAGTATGATACCTATTTTTGTTTCTTTAATAAATTATTTTAAACGATAATGCACTAGGTCGGTGCACCCTTTTTCTGTTTCTCCATTTGTATCTAAATTGTCCCTAGTATGTGTATGTATGAGTGTAAGTTAGGGACCTTAGATTGTACACTCCTCGGGGGCGGGGACTGATGTCAATGTACAACATATATTTAAAGCGTTGCGTAAATTGACAACGCTATATAAGTACCTGAAATAAATAAAATAAATACATCTTAACGGGAACACAGACTGCAATAAAAACCGGATAGGTTCTAATCCACTCTAACCAAAACTATTTAAAAAAAAAAAAAAAAAAAAAAAAAAAAGGTGTTAAAGTGGTCGGTGGGAGGGTGTCCATAGCAAGGGGGTCAACAGGAAATATCAACAAGGAACTTCATGGCAGGATCACCAGATATTATTTTAATAGTAGCTGCAGATTAAAAAAAAAAAAAAAAATCACTCCTAAAATAAAAACAAACAAGTTAAAGCTTCTATGAGATTCAGTAACGGGTTCAAAATTTAAAACAGTTTGAAAGTCGTATTTTCTCCATCTGCTGAGTTTATTCCTCTCTCCCTCCTTCCCCTGACAATTCTCTCCTTCTTTCATCCCTCATCCATCTCTGCATCAAAACAGATGCTTGCCAATAAAATTTTTTTTTCTTTTATGTGTCGCTGTACGTTGAGCATTTTTATGCTCTCCATGATGGGGATAGCACAGTCAGTCAGCTGCTCCGCTTATCTCAATATGAAGAATGTAAAATGTTATTCAATACCAATGATTGAGGGCCCCAGCAGGAGCGTCTTGTGTTCTTGCTTTTTTTCTTTTTTAACTTTATTTAAACTTTTTTTTTTTTTTTTTTTTAAACTTCATTTTTATTTATTTCAGGTACTTATATAGCGCCCTCAATTTACACAGCACTTTACATATATATATTGTACATTCACATCAGTCTCTAACCCTCAAGGGGTGTACAATCTAAGGTCCCTAACTCACATTCATACATACACATACTAGGGACAATTTAGACAGGAGCCAATTCACCTACCAGCATGACTTTGGAGTGCTGGAGGAAACCAGAGCACCCGGAGGAAACCCACGCAGGCACAGGGAGAACATGCAAACTCCAGGCAGGTGGTGAATTATAACATCTTGTGTTGCAATGAAATGTGTTCCTGCATCACTTTAATGCAGTATCTTGGTGTGAAGAGGCCCTACGCAAGGCCAGACTTTTTGCCTCGTCTTTGCACTGAGGCTGCCTAATTGGGCTGATGTGAACGAACCCTAGAACTAAAATATGGGAAATCTCCCGAGTCTCCCGATTCCATCCGCACTGGCAGTGGCACAGCATACATCGGGATAAGTTTACAATACTTACCTCTCCTTCAACTGTCTGAGGTCCCTCGCTGGCACAGGCATCGTTCAGGTGTCAGGGTGCGGCTGTCTTCATTGGCACATGCAAGCTGACATTGTTAGTGCGCATGCGCAGGAGGTTAGTTATATTGACACACGGGATCTGTGCTGGAAGTCTCCAATGACAAACCTGAGAGCAGGCAGATAGGTTTATGAAGTGTTCTTCCATGGCGACCACTTCCTGTTATCTCACATATATATTCTTATTATTATAGCCAAATTTACCCCCTAACTCCTCCCACAGTTTTTACACTACATAGACAGTAATATACCGAAACGTGCGGATTGTTCCTGATTGGTGTGCTATTACTTTGTGGAACGTTTCGCCGAATGGTTCACGAAATATCGCCGTTTTTGTGGTGAAATTGGTCCCATAGGAATGAATGGCGGAATGTTCAAAACTAGAGTGGGAGCTGACAAAGCTAGAGTGTGAGCTGAAAAATCAGGACATGATTTCTAAACTGCCATCACTCCCTCAAGCCCACGTACACAAATCTTTTATCAAAACGTTCAGCTATCCCTGCTGCCACTAAAAATGTTCACGGCTAAGCCATAGTCCTGATAGTTTTCACAATATGACCATTTGTTTGCAACTCACGCTGCCCATTGACATTCATTGAAACTCCACTCTAGCCACCTAAAATTTGAAGGGCAATTTCTAAACTGCAACTGTGCCTTCATTTTTAATATTTCAGAGACTATCAAAATGTAGGTCTGGGTCTTGAGATTCTCACAATATAAAGCTCTTTGCTGTAGGATTTATAATTTTTAAACTACAACCGTTTGAAGATGGCAACCACCAGTGAAGTGAGCAAGTTGGAGCAGTTTGTTTTTAACTGCTCTTCTCTGGCCCTTGAGAGTGAGTTGCCATAGGAACCCAGGTGTGTGTCAGCAGGCAAGCTAAACACTTCATTCCAGTTGTAGACTACTGGTGGAGGCAACAACACTTCACACAATTTCCCCAGAAATTGTAGCTTTTCTAGTATTATATTTTTAAAATTGCTAAAAGTGTGAAAACTCCCAAAACTGCGCTAAATGTATAAAGTAAAACATATATCTCATTAAAATATCCGTGTCCTAAACAACACGTCCGCCACTTTCAATGAATAAACATGGGCAAAAAAATATTTTTAAAAAAAAAAAAAAAAATATTCCGGTGGCGCATGCATCAATTATTGTGTAAA